ATACTCGAGGGCTTGCCCTCTCGAGAGCGTGTAGGAGGAGGTGTGTTTACGTTTACTACTTCTACCATAGCCGCTATACTTGGCCGCATGGCTACCCACTCAAACCCTGAACCCGATTTCTAGTCAGCTATTGACTTCATCAAACAACACCCAGAATTCTCTAAGAACTGCAATATCCGAGTTGAAGGTAAACTCAAGGCTACTCCCGTTTCCTACATTATGTACTGCCCTTGGGAGAGGTTCCACTGTTAGACCTCCGGGGTCCCACTCAACCCGCTATGGCAATGAATACACCGTTGACATCTTCGACGCGAGCACAAAATACTGCCTTCATACCTATAACGTCCCCACAACACACTCAGCAAATACATGCGCACTCTGTTAAAAGCTGTTATGTCTAAGCCTTGTGGGGGAAATGATTTTCTATACGCCTGTGATCTTCGCAACCACTGTCTTTCCAAGAACTATACAATTTGCATACCAACCGAGGCATTCCTCTAACGCTCAGATTTTCGTGACCCGTGAGCCAGATTTGGTTGTTTGGTAGTATTTAAGCGTCGTGGCAACCGTGACTGCAGCCACCATAAACATCTACCTCAATACGCATATGGCGTACTGCTTGGGCGAACCACCAACTCTAATTTCGACTGCTGACACATACAACCTTTCGATACACAAGCTCAAACTCCACACTAGAGGTCTTTGGCATATTTCTGATTGTAATGTTCAAAGGTCAACCGACGGGAAAACTAATTCGCTATCGAATAATATACCTGTCGACTAAATGGATATCAATTCGACACCCGGGAGTACCACCATTTATCGGCCCTCATCCTCCTCCTCTTGGTTTATTTAACTTTCTTCATTATGTCGCAAATACCTTAGAGCATATGAATGCTGCCCTATCCCCCTCCCCAAATATACTTACACCAGGCAGATGTTCTACCTGAGCCTGCTTCGGTATATTTACCACCTGGCCCTGCTCCTCCCAATATACCAGCCGCCACTACTGTTCATCGGAACACTCCCTAGCTAGTCCGCAAAGAACCCCGGATGTTTTTCCGACAAGATCCTTTTTTCCTCGTTCCACATACCCTATGTCTCTCACAAATCTGCCAGATGTTTCTTGGTCTCCTTTCTTACACAACACCACTCCATCATCTGTTTTATCAATACCTTCTACTCCTGCCACTCCCAGCTACACTTTCTCCTCCAACCCAATGGACCCCTGCCCCAGCGCACCAACCAATGTATCCTATCCTGTCTACTTTCCACCTCACCGAGTCGCCTCCGAACACTGTTATATACATAGACCCCTACCCCACTCTACAAGCAGCAGTACCGCATAATCCCACCTTCTTACAGCCCTGATGTCTTCTTTCCAGTGACTTCGACTAACTCTCCCCAACGACCTGGACCCCGGCACCCGCCTACATTCAGCAGCACCCAAGGTCTTCTGTCCCTATCACCCCATCGTCGGCAGTGGATTTGGCCATCTATCTCCCATAACCGCTTTGCCTTCGCTTGTACCCAGGACACAGCCAGTGCTTAATCCACTATATCCACTATTTCCCTACTACTACCTCGCCAATGTCGCCGAGTTCTTCTATACCCTCACATGCACCCATGTTCTGGTCTCCCATACAAACCACGACACAAAATCGATATGTTACCACTCAACGAAGACTCGCCGACAAACACTCGCTTCATATATTGCCCACGAAACCGTAGAGTACGTAATACGCTGTTTTCCTACCTGTCCGATCCGAGTATCACTCCCTGTGCCCGGACCATCACTTTATTACTTTGCCGACCTTCATGACCCCAGCATTCCTAGAGCAATATTCGCTACCCAAATCTCTCTTCATTGGGCGGATTGGTTTGTTGTTATTGAGACTGAACGTTCCAATCGTATACGAAACGAACTAGCTGATGTCGATTCTCCCTCTTCGGTGCCTTCGACAACCATAGTTTTTCATAGCAAGCATATAGTTGCGCTCAAACATTGTGAACATGCACTGTCATGGTTGCTCGTGGAGATGATATAATATACTTCATTATGTATCAGTTACCAGAGATATTATATTAAGTACACACAATGAACCCAATGAACCCTATTGCTAAGCACCAATTTTTTTCAAACAAGAAAAAATGGTTTAATATTACGTACTTTGTTGACCCGGTATTCTCAGCACTAGCGGCAAATTATGGTGTCGTCCATTACTTCAAAACCCCCATTTGAATACACACGATATAATGTATGCTTTATATATCGCAGCCCTAGCCTTTACAGCTCTATCATTGCTCAGCCATAGTTTTTCATAGCAAGTATATTGTTGCGCTCAAACATTGTGAACATGTTAAACTCACACCTTTCATAGCACTGTCGTGGTTGCTCGTGGAGATGATATAATATACTTCATTATGTATCAGTTCCCAGCGATATCATATTAAGTACAAACAATGAACCCTATTGCTAAGCACCACCTTTTTTTCAAACAAGAAGAAATGGGTTCATATTACGTACTTTGTTGACCCGGTATTCTCAGCACTGGCGGCAAATTATGGTGTCGTCCATTACTTCAAAAACCCATTTGAATACACACGATATAATGTATGCTTTATTTATCGCAGCCCTAACCTTTACAGCTCTATCATTTCTCCTTTAATCCTATTAATCTGACAGACAAATACAGAAGTGAATACTAGTATACAAAAACATATATTAGTACCCTGTGTTTCAAAGCATAAAGACAGAAAAACAACATTGACAGTAATAGAAGTTGAAACTAAAAGTGAGATTGGTAGTAGTAAATCATCTTTTTAATTCACTATTGAATTTATCACCAATAAATACGGCAGTACAGCGTAGTAAATTAGGTGAATGACTCAACTAACCAACCTAGGACTAAGTTGGTTGGTTCAGTCATTCACCTTTAAACGCTCCCCCATCCGTGTCGTAGACCAGTATTGTCGAGTTGAGTGTTGTGACTCGACGCAAAGGCATCGACGTCGTTGGGCCCCAAATTTTTCTGGACCTGGTCAAAGAAATCCGGATACAATTTCCAACATGACGTGTAGAACACAGATGGGTAGTTGATATCCGCCGTTCCCTGATGAACACGACTCCACATGTCTGGTAACTTGTTCAGCTCTCCAGGTACATGTGTAATAGTAACATTGAACTGCGCAATAAAGTGGTGCATCGCAGCATACTATTCAATTTCAGTTGAGTGTTCATGTATATGAGAGCCTCATGATCCACACACTGGCATCTTAACTACTAATATAGAACATCCAAAATCGACGCACATTCGAATAAGACGGGGTAAAGGGTTGCGCAGTGTTGTGCTCGTCCTTCTTTCAAACGCACACTATACAACGCACACTCAGAACCATGAAAGTGTGTCCACATATCGTGCAGATTTCACATTTGACTGGGCTGCTATATACTTCCTTGAGATCGCAACATAGGGAGTCACCAGTGTCGTCCTTCATCAATTATTGTACACCGCATTTGATACACGAAAGACACCGATGTGAATAGTGAAACATTCGTTCTGCTAGCTAACAATTGCACAATCAACGATAGAGAAAGTTTGTAGTATGGCTTGTAAACGTTTCTATTTCGGGAAAATGCTAGTGCACTTCCTGCTAGCAAGAACTGTTAACTTGCATCATTTTGCAAAGACTCGTTCCACTTCATAGTGTGAGTAGATGTTGAATCAAATCCCTAGCAATATTTCAGTCGCATGAGACCACATGAAAGTCTATGTTAGCAAAAGCTGTTTATTGACATATTTAACTTGATTAATCACAAAGTGTTCATTCTCCAATTTGCTTCCAACTAAATTCACAAATATTTTCTGACTGAGACTGGGAGAATGAGTCGTGAGTTAAACTCTAAATTTAAAATGCAAGTCAACGCTATAAGCTGAAATCCTCAGCTTTCCTGGTTATTTCGACGGCAGATGCCTCAGCAAATAATAAGGCCGTGGGCTTCCTCGCCTTCACCGTAATCTCATTTACATGACATCGTTGCACGCATAACTGTAGATGAAATAGTAGCGAGTAAGCGTTTGCGTGTCTCAGCCGATGGGTGGGTGTGTAGGTCCGCGACATATCTAGAATAATAGATAAGTATTCTATGGATGATGCCTCTTGTATATATAAAAAAACTGCACTGGATATAGAGAACGCAAAAGCGATTCATAACGTTATATTTAGAATATTAGATAAGTATTCTATGTATGATGCCTCTAGTATTAAAAAAACTGCACTGGATATAGAGAACGCAAAAGCGATTCATAACGTTATATTTAGAATATTAGATAAGTATTCTATGTATGATGCCTCTAGTATTAAAAAAACTGCACTGAATATAGGGAACGCAAAAGAGATTCATCACGTGTGATTGAACATTTGGCTATACCTACCTTCGCAACGGCAGTCACAAATGCTTCCAGAGTCAAAAATTGGCTTTCCTCAACAAATGCTACAGTTTCAGTTGATATATCCCTGTGAAGTAATATGTATTTAATAATTATAAAATCATGACTTTGTAAAGCGAGAACGAACAGAGATTGCACTCCAATGTGTCTACTTGAAAGCGCAGTATAAACGATACTTCTTCTCTTTAAAGATTGACGCATCTCACTGGTAAGCCAATTAAGTTGGAATACACTGTACATAGTCCAAAATCGAAGGAAAGGTAGCAACAGGCGAGCAGACTTGCAGCAATGTGTAACCTCAGGAATGGGAACGACTAAAAGCCATGCGAGTATGCTTACCTATAGTTACAAGAGTGCAAGATAGAATCGGCTGTTCCAGCTACACCGAGGTCCATCGTCGACGTGAGGTCTAAAATGACCGATTGTTTCTGTAACCTCTCCCAGGAATTCACACCAATAATACACCTAGAGCGAGTAAAATACATGATAGGTCAACGCAGGCTACACCAATTGAGAAAGACGACTGCACCAGTATAAGATACAGTTTGAAAGAAGTCAAATCACATGCCTGATCAGCAAATCACTGACGAATATCTTGTCCTCATGTGTCGTAGACGTCGCAGTCTCTGTTGGAAATTCGAAAACTGGGTTCGATTTGCCCAGAGTGTACTTTTCATTGATGCATTGAAGAAACCCCAATGGGAAGTCATAGCATGTCCGCGTCATCTCCACGCCTGTCAGCATCGCGATGACAATCAGTTAGCTGATCCTAACACGCGACGGCAACATGCGTGGAATAATAATTAATCGAAGCAAGTGGCGGGTGACTAACATCCACGAAATAAATGAGATGCACAAGTCCTTTTATCGTTCTACAATCGAGACCATAATTTTCGCATGTCTTCTGTACTTCGAGATAAAACTGGCCGGCCATACCTGCACATCTACCATATAAAATTGCAGTCGGTTTCTCCACACGAACACAGGCCTTTACCACTCCACAGCCTGCTATTAAAACCTGGGATACGCCATAAGCAAGAGCTTCGACGGTCTTGAAATGTGATTGCTGCGTAATTGAGGGTATACAAATCCAGTTAATTTTAAGACCACACGAGCACAAATGTCAACATTATAAATGAAGCTCTCACTCAGTGAGATATCGTAACGCAGCTACAAACGAAGAGAGTACAAGATATATATGTGATCAGTTTACGTACCTCAATATACTGTGAAACGATCGAAGAACAGGCACCGTAGTTGTGACTGAAAGATAAATTGTCGGTATTTCCCGTTTTTGAAACATCTGCGAACAGCCTGTAACCCCCCAAAAGCTATGTTAGTCCTTGTCAATCTCTCGAAAAAGCTACGAAAGAGTTGAACATGAACTGTCCACCAACCGATCTTTTCGAGACTCATGATACCAACCGCAATTTCCAGAAGAGACTTACGTGAAATTAACAATGACCTTTTGCAGTTTCTCCCGCTCCCATCTTTCCACACCAACGACTGAGCGACATTCAAGATCACAGACCATGATCTGAGTCGTGGAAGAGGTAAAATATATGCTATACATGAGTGACACATGAGTGGAAACACTTCTCTTGCGTCGTGACTTGGACAACTGATTGTCAAATAACTCCAAGCATATCACGCCGAGCCACCCAACATCGCAGGTTTTGATTGTATGTGAAATCAAGGTGGAGGTATGGAAGACTAAATCACGCATATAAAAGATAGCATCACACCTAATATGATGCGAGCAGACAAATTTTGTAGATATAGTATACGAATGTATTAATACAATTTCAATTTCAACATAATAGTAGTCCCAAAATAAAATCAAGGTCTGGATTCCAGGTAAATTAAAAAGAGTGAACAAATCGACCAACATGCATATAAGGATACATATCATATAATATATAGCAGGGTGCAGGCAATACATACATATAAATATACATCATATATATATATATATAAACATGTATATATATATATGTATATATATACATACATAAATATATATATATAAATGTGTGTTTGCGTATACGCGTGTAAATATACATATATGTTTGTGTGCGTGTCCATGTAAATGTATATATATATATATATACATCCATCCATCCATACATACACAATACTTGCATAATATACATGTATATATAAATACATGAAACCCCGCACACAAAACCATATATGTATATGTATATATATATATATGTGTGTATACAAAGATATACAAGTATATATATATATATATATACCGACATATAAATATTGTATACACACACACACACACACACAC